CCTACCCCCCCCACCCTCCTTTGTCCTGGCCAGTCAAACCAAAAACCGCACCTGAGGCAGGGATGGTCTATTCCTCGCCCGCAACCTCAGCTATGCCGTTGGCGCTGGACTGCTTACTCCCGCCGATTCGAGCGGCCAAAACCAATTTGTGGTTGACGGGGACGTGCGTGATCGAGGTAGGGGATATGTGCTATAGAATCGCGATCCTAAAATAATGGATGCTCTCTTAGAGAAACATCGTGTGCTCGTCCGTCAAGTTTTTACTTTTTCTTTCTTCTTTTGGAAGACGTCTCGTGGTATCCGTAGGTTCGTTGACCGATCTTGGCGAGGAGGCTGACCTGGCCGCACCGCGGCCCGCACTGCGGCCCGCACTGCGCAGTCGTCCCGCCTCAGCTGGACCAGTGTCGCCCAGAAGGAATGCATTGACAAGTCTCGCGTTTGAAACCTCCTCCATAGGAATAACGTTGCCTGGAGTTCACCTCAGCATGACAGGCAAAGCGCACGGCTGAAGTTTAAAATGGCCAGTCGATTGATCAAACAAGCAGTCGGAAAGGGGATCGAGGAAGGTAGGGGTTTGTAACCAAATCATCAAATGTGCGTGTTCTTTTGTTGTTCTCTTTTTTAAAAAATACGATTCTGTTGTTACAAACGGTAACTTTTCAAAGTAAACTTTTAAATATTAAAAGGCTGTGAACTTGTCTTTGACCGTTGAGCGGATCCGTTAAGCTTGTCAGCAACGCCAGCGTCAAAATATTGCGAAATTAAGGTAATAAACACAACACCGACCTCCAACTCACAACAAGAGTAACGGTTGCAGTTATTTAGAAACGTAAAAAAATGTAATTTAGTTGTCAAAAGTCGACGTTTTAAACCTCAGTACGCCTTAGTGTATCGATTTCTGTACGCGCGATTTTTGGAAGCGTAAATCTCACAACTTACCCCTAGGCCGGCGAGAAAGCTCTCGTCCAGGATGGCATAGATCTCCACGTCCTTGAGGTCGACCTGCACGTTCACATTGCCCGTCTGCCGCTGGTCGTAGCGCACGGGGGTGGGGGCGGGGGCCGGCGCGGCCCATGGCACCAGCAGCAGCAGCTGCAGCAGCAGCAGCTGCAGCAGCAGCAGTGGGAGCGGCGGTGGCAGCTGGGCGAAACTAGGCGCCATGTCCTACTCTGCAAGTGGGTCCCTCTAGGTCCCTCTAGGTCCTTCGTACTACTTGTTCCTGCCGGGCAACACCAGACCGCACCACACACTGGCCCGCGCCGCCGGCCGGCAGCGTCAGGCCCGCCGCGCCCGCCGCCCCGCTCCGGCGCCACGCCCCGCCACGCCACGGCCCGGACCGGCTACAGCACCGCCGCCACCGCCGCAGCAGCAGCGGTAGCAGCAGCAGCCTCCCGTCTCCCAGTCGTGTCCGTGTCCAGCGCAGCCGCCACCCCCGCGTGTACGTGAACTGCTCGCGCGGGGAGGGAGAGGGGAGCGGGTGTCGCGCCCCAAAGGGACGACACGCGGTCCAACAGCCTTCATAACTCCTCAGGACCACTGGAATCCGAAGGATCTCTTTACTATTTCCTCGAGGACAGTTCTTTGGGAAAGAACGCAGGTGGTTTCATCGCGCAACATGCAAAAGCAATCGCATGGGGAAACAACGTCATGTTGAAGGGTAGGCTCTCAGAAGCGCCTGCAGGTTCGGGGATAGGCAACCACGAGCTTCAACACACACATGTTTGACGGGACGGCCTACGCACCAGGCGCCTTACTGTTAGGGCTACGTCAGACCTGAATTGTTATTATTGTAGTATTTTTGCACCCTAGGTGTCTAATGAGGCTAGGAAACCTCGGGAACTGAACGATACGCAGACTACAAGTGCCTCCTACTGCACGGGGCCAGCCTCCCCTCCCAACCCAAGTATTGCAGCTCGCTCAAAGTTTAGATCAGTTCGATAGAACTCTCGCGGAGCAAAAGTAAATGAGAGTTCGTGACCGGCTTGTTATTGTGAATTTATCCCCCCCCCTCCCTCCTTGATCCCGTGGTGTGGTCACTTCTTGTTATAAAGCGAATCGAGAAAAATAAAAGTTTCATCTCGAAAAGACAGTGTGATTTATGTCGCATTACGGATGCACTCCACGTCCCCGTTAACTTTGTTGCGATATTGAAACCCTAAAGGAATCCGTTCTCTTTTATCTCATAAAAAAGGAAACACACGACACATAAAGCCGCGCTGACACGTCGCATTCTCCTTGATGCGGTGCTTCATCTTCCGTTTTTTTCCCTTCCCCAGCGCGTATCTCTTTTTGCTCGTCCTTTTTGGAGAAAGGTGAGTGGCTTTGGTCCAGCCGGCTCGGACCCGTGGCCGGCCTGGAGGAGCTATATGTAGGTGGATGCGAATGCGGTGTCGAACAAGTGATGGCCGAGGCTGAGATTACGCTGTGTGTACGGCGGAGCGGAGCACCGGCGAGCAGCGGATAATCAGAAATAATACAAGAAAAGGCGCGCCTCTCACGCACTCGGCGGCGCGGGCAGCCCGCGGGGTAGCCTCGGCGGACGACTCGAGAGGAGTTTGGAGCTTTGGGGGAATCTTGCCACGTCGTCACTTTTATTACGAGCGCAAAACAACGCAAAATATTTGTTAGTGTACGTACTTAGAGATCCAGTGGTGTGAATGCAATGCACGCAGGTGGTGTCACCTAGGCGTCAAGTACATGCCGTGTTGGCCCTTCCCTGCAATGACCCCCCCCCCCTTCTCTTTCTCTCTATTCTCGAGTGAGTCATCTATTACTATTGATGTTGTCTGTCTGTTGTCGTTTTACGGTCCTTTGATACCATAGCGAGGGTGCGAATGTCGTCGCACATTTGAGTGAACGCCCATCCGTAAACACATCAGGAAGTAAAGGTTTGAATTTGCCTTTGAAAATTCACCTGGTGCCTCCACGTATACGAATGGCATTTACACACCTACAAGCGCGTGACGGTCACATACTTTTAGTTTCGGTGTACGCCACCGACATCCTGCGTCCTGCGTTCACCCTCGAGAGCGCGGTGTGGCGCGGGTCTTCCTAAACACAGCACGGCGTGGTAGATGGGCATCCCCGTGCTATCGTTTAAAAACAAATCCCTCTATTTTCACAGTGCGGTCGTGAGGCCGCGGGGTCATGACCGCCTCCCCTGCGGCTAGCCGCAGCGAGCGGGCGACGTGTTTGGAGTAAAACACAATCATCATCGAGGTGTGAAGCCTTTGGCACGCCGCTCCCGCTCGCCACGGACCGGCCCGGCGGCGGCGGCGCAAAGCGCACGGCCCCGGACAGCAGCGGGTGAGCGATATGGGCTGCCTACTCTGCAGGCGGAGCGCGGTAAGTTGTGAGATGGGTTGCCTCGACCACGGCGCAGACTCGCTGCAGCGGTAGGCTTTTGATTCAGATTGCTGTGACGGTTTTCGAGTTATTGGTTTTTCTATGTTATTTTCTTTCGACGTTTACATTCCTATTACAACAATTAAACTTAAAGCACCAGACCATTACCTACGACTAGTTTATAGTTAATGATAATACTCCTGAACGTTGTACTTAAAAATACTAGGTGCGAATTATCTTGACTAGTTTACAGGAATACGTTTTTCGGCGTTCTGTTTTATATACTGTCTCTTCGTGCGATGCGTCCGCTTCTTCTAACTTAACTTGCAGAAGACCAGGATGGCCAAGGAGACGAGGGACAATGACAAGGAGGCTGACGCCCGACCGGAATTATTCCTAAAATCAAATACGGTCAATAAATGTTGGTGCTTTAAATCTGAAAAGTGGCGTGCCCGGAGGATTGAAAGCTAACAGGCAAAAATAAAAAATCGCTCGACAACAGGTTATAATAAATAATTATTACATAATTATTACAGAAAAGGATCCCATCACCACCACCACTACCACCACCACTACCACCACCACCGCCACCATACACGCGAATTTCAAATAAAACTAATAAATTGAGAAAACCACAAAAGCAATACTCGTCGAAAAATTAAACAGAAGAAAGCTGTAATAACTCATCAAAAACGTACCCATTCTCCTTGATTTGTAGGGACTTCCAGAATGCGCTCTGGCCAAAGTCCTTGGCTTGCACCATAGTCACGTTTCCTGGGCCAGAAATCTTTAGGAAGTGCAGAACATCGCTCTTTGTCTTGGGCTGGGGTGTCCAGTTCGCACCTCTCAAAACAGGAATCCTGCGAAGAAGGCCGTTTCCAAAACTTATAATTACATCTGATTATCCAACAGCTTGACAACTGCTAAGGTGCTCGAACAATCGATAAAATTGTACTTCAATCAGCAGCGATGACTCACGATGATTTGGCGAACGAGACCCAAAGTTCCAGGAGCTGACTCCGCATATCGAGGTCCGTGGGCATTCGCATCACCCCACTCCAGGGGAACTCGATAAAGTACTGAAAGTCGTCTGCGTGTGCCACCCCTGGGAAGAGAACCCATACAACGAGAAAATAAAAATTTCGTGCTTCACTACACACTTAAGTCTCCTTATCTGCGGGAAAAGACGTACCGAGATTACTCGTGTTCCCCCCGGTGAGGAAGTGCGTCAGGCTGAACTCGCCGCGGTACTCGAAGCTGTACATGTAGACCGGCGAGGACTGAGTGGCCGCCGCTGTCAGCACGTAGTCGTTCACGCCCGCGAAAAAGTCCCTGTCTGAGATGAGCTACGCGAGATAGACAAACCCAAAAACTCCTTAGCGTAATCGAAATTATTGTCTGCTAACGATTTATGGTTAATAACATATTACACTGATTCCGGATGTACTCAGTCGGCCCGGACTACCCACCTGCACGAGCTGCTTGTGGCTGTGCCCCAGTGACGCATTCTGGAAGTAGTGCTCCCTAATCTGGTGCATGAGTGAGGGGGTCTCGCCCGTGCGGTTGTCGTGGAGGTGCAGTAGTTTGGGGGCCACGTCGGCCCAATTCTCGTCCAGCTCCTGGACCAGGGTGTCGTTCAAGATGAACTCTGAACAAGGAAAACAAGGCGTTATCGCAGGTTCATGCAGGCAGATTGCTTCGTTCGTACCGAACTCCAAACGGTATTCCGAAAGGGGCTGAGACCATGACAATTTAAAAAGAAAGTGCAGACGTTCTAACAACCAAACCAAAAAGTATGCACGTCACGAAACACAAACAAGCCCGCAATAGTCAGTGGGCGGTCTTTGTAGGTCACAGGACTATTTGATACGGGTAGTAAAGTCGACTAAAGTAGTAAGCGTGGCAGCGATCAAAATTTGAAGGCTGGCGTGACCTCTGAACACTGTTTTGACACAACACTGATAGGGCAAAAAACTGAGGTAAATAACAATGCCACGCTCAGGCGACTGTGATCATTGCATCATTGATAGCAGCGGAGCGATGTCTTCCGGGTCGTATCTTTTGACCCGACTTCGTTTCTATGGTTTGGGAAAATTTGTGACGTTCCGAACTTCCTGACATAATTAGACGATGCCCTCTCCCTCTCCACCTCCCAACTCCGTCTTCAAGAGAGCGTTGCTTTATTTTACCGGCAGCGGGGAAGAGGCCCTCCTCGCTCGTCACACTGAACAGCAGAGGTACGTCCGTCGGGCCCCTCTTGTTCTCCAGCAAGCGCGCGGGTTGGTCGGGCATGAACGGCCTCTTAGACTTGCTGTCGACCACGGGGGCAAACGGGGAGAACGGGTTTTGCTGCCAACCCTGGCAAAAAATTAAGAAAGAAAAAGTGTAATCACGACCATCGCTTGACTTGTGTGGCAAATGCTATCACCACTTTCGCACGCACCTGGAAGTGAGTCTCTAGGGCCACCAGCTCCGTGGCGTTCTTCGCCTGGAGGCAGCTCACGATCGCGGCCGTGTTGGCTCCGGTGCAGTTGGCCAGCTCGGCGAAGCGCTTGGCGTTGGCCAGCGCCGAGGGCTGCTGCGCCCAGGGGTTCAGCGGCGAGCCGCTCAGCGCCAGCACCCTGTGGAACAGGCCCTTGGACAGCGGGGACAGGGTGTGCATGAGGGCGCTGGCGGACCCGGCCGAGAAGCCGGCGAGGGTGACGCTCTTGTTGTTGCCACCGAAGTAGACGATGTTCTCCTGCACCCATCGGAGGGCCTCGACCTGGTCCAGCATACCCGCGTTGCCGGGTAGCTCGGCGTCCTCAAAGCTCAGGTATCCTGTCAAATCAAAAGTCCGTTGTTTACAAAAACATCCGCTCGCCAGTCGGATTTGGGTCGTCTAAAGCGTCAGAGGACCGACACGACCCTGGTTAATACGTCCACAGCAGTACGTAAATGGAGTGCTTTGCGAAAATAAGCCCATTGAATCGGACGTAGTTTAGAAAGTACGTCCGTTTCTCATCCGATTCATTCGGCAAACTACAGGAGCTTGGCGCCTGCGAGACTCCGGGTAGGCCACCCCGCCGTACACGCATGCACTTCTGGCAATATGTTGCCTACCTGTAAGGCGCTATGAGACCTTGCAGAGGCAGCGAATGACTGACATACTTTCTGGATGATTTATTCTACGCATGCACGTTCAAAATTGTAGAAGCCTCACTGACCCAGTACACCGAGACGATAGTCCACGTTCACGACCACAACGTCGTAGTCCATGATGTACTGCAGCCCCGTTCGAGGCCCTCTGCCAAACATGAAGCCTCCGCCGTGGATCAGCACTATGACGTCAAGCGCAGCGGCTGGATCATACTGCACGTCCCAACATATTTTTTAAAGAGTATATGATTGTGGCTTAAATACAACAGTGCGATTTCTAGTACTCAATTGTACTGTACGTTTGGCGTGAAGATCTGCAGAGTGAGGCAGTCCTCGCTCCCTATTATAGCAGAGGGTTGACGGTCTAGTTGCAGGCAAGCTGGAGCGGGCAGTTTGGCGTCCACCACCGTGGGAAGGGGTGAGGGCTCGGGGGCCTGAAACGGAACATTTTAGAGGGTTGATCAGCACTACTGTTTAAAAGCACCTTATTGCGTTCAAGTCGGTTCAAGTAAAAGCTGCTAATCCTCTTCTATGGCGACACTTGGATGAGAATCGCCCCGGGCAGAGGAGCCTAGCACCCCCTCCCTCTCATCATTGTGCTTTAGGACTTAAATCTAAATTCAATGAGACCTGAGGTTAAAACTTGAATACAACATTATAATGTTATTTCACAGTTGCAAAATTAACAAATTTTCAGCAAACACAAAAACTGTTTTTGGTGAGGCAGAGCCTGGGTGTTGAGCGGGTTATCTCCCGTTATCTTCGCCTAACAATTGAGGCTGCCTTTATAGTGGGATGATGGAAGACACACGGTATGCACATGATACACACGCAGGTTGGCAGAGATTACGGGAATTAGGGTGGATTCGCTCTCGGCTCTCGCAGCGTCTTATTCATTAAATTTTTAAAAATCCTCTTTTTTGCCAAGAAAAACTACTAAATAACGATCATGTACAACAAGTTCTCACGTAACCAGTATTATTTTGATCAAAACGAACGGTCCATTTGAGACTGGTTCGGGTTCCACAAGCCGTTGGGGTGGTTGGCCTCATACAAGGTGACAGTGCCTGAGCGGAGTCAGGTCACCAGTACCGGTTGGGAGGGGTCAACTCACCGGTACTTACTGGTCTACTGTTTTGAATGTTTTTCACTCCACATGCACAACTCTGGCAAATTGAGATACAGTTTTCTTTTCACTCGACGATTCTTATTTTTCATTGCGATTATCGTGATTGGGTCCCCTACAGTTCCGTAGCACTCCGACCTTCTCGCAACCCATCTCTGAGTTGAAACTCGTTGAAGTTGTTGCAGTGTTTTCAGACAGTCGGAGTTACTCACTTTAAACGTGCGGCTTCGCGCCACCCACCTTGAACCTCCTCTCCCCGACGGGCGGCTTGGCGTAGGGCACCCCCCAGAAGGCGGCGTAGTCCCTCGGCGCGGTGCCGCCGCGCAGGCCGGCACTCTTCAACCTCTGCCCGAGGATGAAGGAGCCGTTGTTGGTGGTCACGGAGGGAAACTCGGCGACAATGGCCAGGGCGGGGGCGAGCAGGCCGACGGCCAGCATGGCCGCCAGGGCGGTGGCCGCCAGAGCGGGGGCGGCGGAGGCCGTCATGGTGCGCGCGGGGAGCGAGAGTCTCGGCGAGAGTCTCGGCGAGAGTGTAGTGCGGAAGGGCCTCGGGGGTGTGTGGCCGCGCCCGCCCGGTCTAGACAAGGCTTCTGGCCTACACCGCAGCTTGGCCCGCCTCGGCATGTGGGTGGGGGTGGCGGGAGGGGGAGGGCGAGGGGAGAGGAGGGGGAGGAAGAGGAGTAGAGGGGAGGGATGCTGACACAAGGCGGTATGATAAGACAAAATCGAGGCGCGTTTATTCTTTACCGCTCGCCTCAATTCCCCTCCGCGTTACAGCTCAGATTATTGCTGGTCGCGGGTGAGCGTCACCCAGAGCCACACCCCAGGCCCGTGACTCGCCCTGCCTTGGCCCTGCCCTACCTCATCCACATCCACACCGGATATTGCCTCGCAGGAAGAAATGTTGAGCCTGCGCCATTACCTCCAAGTTCGCGCAAAAGTTTCTTCTCAAAATTGCATTTAAAAAAAAAATTACGTAAGCCCGTTGGCCCATCTTACGCGGTGCACCAATGTCACAATGTCACATTACCGTTGTCGCGCTTAGAGACGCCTCAAGCTCCAAACCGGACCAGCCCTCCGAGCGTACCTCTCCGAGTCGGAGCCACGCCGCCACGCATAAATTGGCGATATGCGGGGGAGGGGGCTCGGAAGGGTTCGGTGGGTCGCGCCCTGCACACGCTCAGATCAAGTCACGACCCGCAGCAGGCAGCAACTCACAATGTCGGGTACGTCTTTGGTTTGAGCAGAGGATTTTGATGTGTTTCAATCATCGCTTTTATTTTCACAACTCTTTGGCAGGTGGGACGCTGGTGTTTGGCGCTCTGTGCGCCCTGTGCGTCCTGTCCTCGGCGCTGGCCAGTGCGCCGGTGATGTGCGAGGTGCCGGGTCTCGGCGTGCTGCGGGGGCGACACATCCCCGGGAACACCACATTCTACGCCTTCGAAGGCATCCCCTACGCCCAGCCACCGACCGGTCTCCTCCGATTCCAGGTAATATTAGGCACAAGCGTAAGAGCGCCCGAGGGGAAAAGAAATTCATTTTTCCTAAAGGCAGATATTTTTTTGGCGATGCCCTCAGCCTCCCCAGCCGGCTCCTCGGCTGGTGTACCTCGATGCCCGTGGCCAGCGGCACCCGTGCCCCTACCTCAACGACAAGGGCGTCCTCATCGGCTCCGAGGACTGCCTCTACCTCAGCGTGTTCACGCCCCAGGTGAGCAGGCGGAGCAGGCGCTCTACAAAAACATGACTTCCCGCTACCCGGAGTGCGCCTTTGAGGTGATGACGCTGCGCCACGGCAGGTGGACGACGAGCTGGCCATGCCCGTCCTCGTGATGCTGCCGGGTGACGACTGGACGCGAGGCTATGCCGGGCGCTGGAAGCCCCACCGCCTCATGGACAAGAGCATCGTGGTGGTGACGGTGCAGTCCCGGCTCGGCGCGCTAGGTCCGTGCTGCAAAGTGATAGCTCTGCCTCCTTCCTCGCCGCCCTCGCGTCCCCTGCGTTTACCGTCACGGCTTTCGCAGGCTTCCTCTCCTCGGGTGACGCCTCGGCCCCGGGTAACTTGGGCCTGAAGGACGAGCGCCTCGCCCTGTCCTGGGTCCGGCGACACATCAACGCCTTCGGCGGCGACCCCAACCGCATCACCCTGGCCGGCGTCGGTGCCGGGGCCGCGGCCGTCATGCTGCACGCGCTGTCCAACCCAGGTGAGCGAGTCGGCAGCCGGCCAGTCAGGATGACTTTAAGCTGCGGTCAGGCTTGTTCCAGAGGGCCATCGCCGTCAGCGGGTCGGCGCTCAGCCCGTGGTCGCTCACGGAGAACACCCAGGAGGCCGTTGACGCGCCGACGAGACGCCTGGCCGAGGCCGTCGGCTGCGACTGCCCCATCAGCACGTCGGCCCCGGGCAACCTGACGTCCAGCACGGCCCACGCTGCGAACGCGACGCTCGCCTCCTCCAACAACGCAACCGCCGCCGTGAACGCCACGACCCCGGCCACCAGGCACGCCAACCTCACCGAGATGGTGGAGTGTCTGCGGGACAAACCCGTGGCTGACCTCGTGTACGGCACCGCTCGGCTACAGGTGAGGGCGCTGGGGCTCGTCCTCGCAAAACTTCTGCTTGACTGAGAAGTCTACGCTGAAATTCGTGTGCGTATGCACGCAGGGCTGGGCAGGACTGCCATCGTCCCCGTTCGGGCCGGTGGTGGAGAGCGGCGAGGCGAACGACACCTTCCTGGGCGCGGCGCCCGCCCGGCTCTGGGGCGACGAGGAGTACGCCGTGACGGTACCATTGCTGCTCGGTCTGTCCCGCAGCGAAGGGCTCCAAGTGCTCGCTCCCTGGCCTGCTGCAGGTGAGCTCGCGTGTCGCGTGCATCGAAATGGGCACCATCATAGTTGAAGAAATGCGCCGGCAGAATATGTACACGCTTCTGCCGTCGTGACCAGGTTTGCTGAACAGCGCCAGCCAGCTCAGCCAGCTGGACACGGAGTGGACCCGGCTTGCGCCCACCGTCCTGGCCTTCAACAAGACCGCCGCGGAGGACAAGGCTGCCGCCTCGGAGCAGATTCGGCGCCGCTACCTGGGCGTCGTGACGCCGGCCGACGCCAAGGACGGCCTGCTGCGGCTGTTCGGCGACCGCCACATCGTGCTGCCCGCCCTGCGCGCCGCCGCCCTCCACGCCAAGAAGCACCCCGTGTTCCTGTACCGCTTCGCGTGGAGCGCCGCCCAGGGTAGGGAGCGAGGTAGCGGCCTCCTGGCGCAGAGGCGCGGACACCTCGGGGATAAACTTTACGACCCTTTCAATGTCAACCCTTCAGGTACTTCGGCCTTGGGCGGGCCCGCCGGTGGCAGCGACGCGTCAATACTCCTCATGGAGCCCTCGCCCACGGAGGCGACCAGACTGCCGGCGCAGAGGGCCATGGCGATGGACATCCTCGACTTGTGGGCCAGCTTCATCGACAAGGGGTGAGCAGCAGGTCACCGTGTCCGGCAGCGGCGCAGCAACGGAGTGCGCTACGGTGCAATCACTTGTCGCACCGGTGGCCCAGTTTTTATTTTCGCTTTCCGCCACGCGCACCCCGCGGAACCTACGTGTTGTGACTGTCCTTAATCAATGGCGCCGAGGTTATGCGGGGCGATGCCTGCGTCCCGCGGCGTCCTGGGGCTGGGGCGTTGGGCCGGGCGTGGTCCCGCATACCGGAGCACTTCAGCTCGCGGAGGTCCGACACGTCCACGGTAAATCGCTCCACGGTAGTTTCGATGTTAATTATGCAGAGTTCCGAAAATACTTCCAGTCGTGTCGATTTAAATTAACGCTCGTGTCTGTTACGTTACGTCCTCACTGTGGACGTATTTTAAAACCGATCCATCGATTATTTTTCATCATGCACCTCCCACGCGCTCCTCCGTGACGTGACACTCATCTCATCTTGCAGCGTCCCCGTCCTGGGCAACACCACCCTCCCCCGCGTGAGCGGGGCGCCTTCGGGGGAGCTGCCTTACCTAGAGCTGGTGCGGCCTGGGGTGCAGAGGCTGGGGAACTGGTCTGTGCAGGACACCGTGTCCTTCTGGAAGGGTCTGCCACTCCTCGAGAACAAAAAAACAAGGTAAACCAACGGTTTTGCATTGGCTTGTACTTCGTCAAACTTTGCACCCCAAAATAAATTCGATGTGATTTTGATTTTGGTTGCAGTGCTCCTGTGACGGCCCAGAGCGGCGGTTTAACCGACTCGAAGAAGAAGACTAGCTCCGCGGCGGGCAAGTGGCAGTGGCGGTCCCAGTGGACGCTGCTCGCAGTCGCCCTCAACTTCACCTGGTGGCTGCATGTTATTTCACTCTAGGCAAATTGTGTTCGGTGAAGAATGAATAATTTTGGCAGTTGTTTGGGGTGAAGGAATTTTGCTCCCTGAAGTTCCAACCATGCAGCCCACATGCCTCATGGCCACGCCACCCTCAATTTTCACAATAGAAATAATGTGTACAGGAAAAAGGGAGAACTTAGTGTATTTAATGCTTAAGAAAACTAGGATAAGTAGACATGTGACGATTTTGAATTGGCTGTAATAATAAATGCAATGTAATCGGGACAAGTGTCGACGCAGTCCCGTGCATCACAACTCGTCGCGAGCGCTGACCAGGTCGGGTGCGTTCTCGCTGATTGGCAGCGAGTTCCAGAAGGCCGTCTGACCCAGCTCGGGCACCTTGTCGAAGATCAGTTCGGCATTCTTGTCCATGCGCAGGATGTAGAGGTCCTGCGAGGCGGGGTCCAGCGGGGCCCAGCCGGGCGACCCCGGCAGGCCGGACGGCACCCTGGAAGACGGGAGAGCGAGTGTGTTGAAGCAGTCGGCTGCCGAAGCTGCCCATCGTTTGCCATTATTATTCTCCTCCGTGACCTCGTCACTTACCCCGTCCTCGCGAACGTCGTGAGGATGCTGATGAGCTGCTTCCGGACTTCCAGCTCCTGCGGGTTGCCCCCCGTGGGCAGGCACTCCCACCGGAACAGGTAGGCCGCGTCGTCGCCGTGGCTCACGCCCCAGTCGCTGGTGTCCTTGGGCTTGGAGATGGCGCCGCTGAGGCTGTTCTCGCCCCGGTACCCGTACAAGTACACGTACACGGGCTGGCTGTTGGCCTGGGACTGCTCGCGCGCCGCCTGCTCCACCCCGGCGTTGAAGATGCGGTCGCCCACCATCTGCGGGAGGGAGAGCTCGCTTATGACCAGGATCTTCTAAAGGTGTAGTGCACCTAGAGGTGTAGTGCACCCTAACGTGAACTGCACCCCTGCCACCGAATCGGTCACCGAGTGCTCACCGCGACGAATTCGTTGGTGGCGGCGCTGAGAGGCCTTTGGCCGATGTAGTGCTCCCGGATGGCGCGGCTGACGGCGTCTCTCTGCGCCTCGGTGCCGGCGGTGTCGTTGTAGTCCAGCAGCAGTGGCGCGAGACGCAGCCAATCCTGGTCCAGGCGTTGCAGCTTGTGGGACTGTCCGGCGCCCAGGAACTCTAACGGGGGAACAGAGCGGTATTAGAGGTCGCTCGACGCCGAGGCCGGGGCCATGACGAGCTGCCGTCGACGCAAACTCACCGGCTGCGTTGAACAGCCCCTCCTCCGTGGTGATGCCGACGATCCAGGGCACGTCGTTGGCCAGCCCCTGCCTCAGCACGTCGATGGGCGGCCTGTCCACGAAGGCGCCCATCGTTCCCGCGGGCTCGGCCACGGGGGCGAACGGCGAGAAGGGGATCTCGGCCTCGTCCTGGAAGGCCGGCACGGCGGCCGCGATGGCCCTGGCGGGGCGGTGGCGCAGGCAGGCCACCAGGTCGCGGCTGGTCACGCCGTCGGTGGGGCAGCCCAGGAGGCCGGCGAGGCGCACGGCCTTGGCCGCCGCTTCCTCCTGCTGGGTCCACGGGCAGAGGGCGGCGCCGCTCAGCGACCAGCCGCGGTGGAAGGCGCCCGCCGACAGGGGCGACAGGTAGTGGTAGTGCACGCTCGCGCCGCCGGCCGACAGCCCGAACAGCGTCACGCTGTTGGGGTTGCCGCCGAACGCCGCGATGTTGCCCTGGATCCAGCGCAGCGCCGCCGACTGGTCCTTGAGCCCCATGTTGCCCGGCACCACCTCGTCCTGCGTACTGAGGAAGCCTGCGCAGAGGGATGGGCACCGTGTGTGACTCGTTGGGGTCGGGGGCGAGCAGCGACTGCAACGCCGCAGCGACCGGGACGTACCCAGCGGGCCGACGCGGTAGTTGATGGTGACCAGGACCACGTCCTTGTCGAGGAGGAACTCAGGGCCCCAGTCGGAGCTGCCGCCGAACATGAAGCCTCCGCCGTGAATCCACACGAGCACGTCGAGGAGGGGGGCGCCGGCAGCGGGGAGCTGCCAGGGGTTGGAAACAAAGACAGCATTTCAAACACCTTGAGTCCCAGAGCAATATCAAGGGGTGGCGTTAGGGATTATCCAGAAAGTGCGCCCATCATCCGTCGTTACAAAACTGCAAGGTTAAGTCTATACAAGCTCTCAGCGACTTATGACGATCAATGTAACATTGTGTGACGCTGTGCGACGCTACAGGACAAATAAGGATTCATTGCTCTTCGCCATAACTCGTCCGTTTTGAGAATCTGGGACAAAAATGGACGTGGGCCTTTTTAGGCCATGTCCGCATTTGTCCCCAATTCCCATCAGGGAAGGCAGGCGCCTGATAGGTGGGCAACAGCGTGCCTGCAGCGCTTGCGTGTACTGCTGGGTGACCTACCCTGAGTCTCGCAGGCGCCGAGCCCTCGTAATTGCGCCGAAAGGATCTGAAAAAAGACGGAAGTACTTTCTGGAAGACCACCTTTCCAGTGCGTGCCCGGACTCACCCTTGGCGTGAAGACGTTGAGATAGAGGCAGTCCTCCTCGCCGACCACGGCCGACACGGGGTAGCGGTCGAACTGCATGCACTTGGGGGGGAACTGGGTGGCGTCCCACACTCCCTGCCAAGGCTTGGTCGGCTTGGGGTCCTGTGGGAAGGAACGGGGCGGTGCGTTTAATACCCCATGCGTCGGGTCGAGGCTTGCTCGTCGGAGCGAGCACACGGGAGGCCTCACCTTGAACCGGTACTTGCCGACGGGCGGCCGGGCGTAGGGGACGCCCTTGAAGGCGAACACGGTCCTGCCGCTGTCGCTCTGCGTGGTGGTGCCCCGCACGGCGCCCTTCTCCAGCTGCACCAGGGGGTCGCTTGGCTCCACCGCGGCTGACACAGCGGCCACCAGCACTGCGCCGAGCAGCGCGGCCTGGATGGCGGACGTCATGGTCCTCTGGAGGGCGACATCACAAAATTAGGTTCACTTTTTGTTTTAACCCCAACACCTTACTGTATGTGGACACGGGCAAACAAACCACTCCTCTATCGTGCGACCGACAGTGTGCCG